CTCTCTCTCTCTCTCTCTCTCTCTCTCTCTCTCTCTCTCTCTCTCTCACCTAGGGACAATTTAGAGTTACCAATCAGTCTAACATGCATGTTTTTGGTCTGTGGGAGGAAACCGGAGTACCCAGAGAAAAGCCACGTATGCACGGCGAGAACATGCAAACTCCACCCAGAAAGGCCTCCGGACCAGAATTTGAACCCGTGACCTGCTCGCTGAGAGGCAGCAGCTCTACCAGTTGCGCCACCGTGCTGCCTAGTGAAGAACAAATGAGAGAAAATGGTATTTAAAAAACAAAACAAAAAACATTGTTTAGTTTATAATATTACGAGTGTGGGAAGGGTTTAAAACACCTTAATTTATATATAAATACTAAAATAAACTACTACTCACTACTACTACCTCTACTTGTACTACTATTCCTACTTCGCAGTTTTTCACTTATTGCATGGGGGCTGGGAACAGAACCCCCACGTTAAACGAGGAACTACTTGTTCAGCACTTTGGTCCTGTGGGGTTTTCAAGTGCTCTATAAATAAAGCTGCTATGGAATATTATCAGAATCTCTTAAAGTTTTGCAGAAGCCTCTTGATACACATTTCTTTAAACTTGATGAGTTGGAAGAGAAACACATTTAAAACATGCAGGATATTGACCTGCAAAGACAAGAACTGGACACCACTAGAGCGAACCATTCCACACATGAGAACTAGCTGCAAAGACGTGCCTCGTTTGACCAGGATCAAAGCTTCAGACAGCTTTTGTGTAATATTTAACCAGAGAAGGTGGTGGGAATGAGTTGGTTGGCAATATTGGGCAGGTTGTGTGGATGACGGCACTGCTTGGTGAAATATTTGACACATTTATCAGTAGGTACCTGTTTGAACCAAGAAATGCTCCAGGAGCAACAGTTTGAAGGTCTGGACTCTGGTTCCTACTCATATGGAGCAAAAAGAGATCACAGCGGATCCAGGCTGAGTTCTGCAGGGTTGGGTTGTAAGAACCTGGTTCAAATTTTCTGACAGACCTGTACAGAAAAATGCTTCTTGATGCTGCTCCGTAAGTCTTTGCTGACCAGGCCATAGATGATGGGGTTGATAGCTGGGGGAAGGATGATGATGAGGATGCTGAAGAACTTCTTGATGTTTGGTGGTGCAGAAGGAAATCTTAGACTCACAATGATGATCACTGAAGCTATCTGATAGAGCACGTACACGATGAAGTGCGGTGCACAGGTCTGAAAGGCCTTGCTGCGGATGCTGCTGTCAGCTCGGCCTCGTTGAAATGAGACTCTCAGGATCTGGATGTAGGAAAACGCAATGATGACGAACATCCCGGTACTCACACACCAGGTAATGGATAAACCTTTAAAACAAACGCAGAACAACATTTAACTAGAAATGATCCTAAATGAACTCTGGACAGGCCTGACATTTGGCGACAATTTTGAATTTTTGATTTGCGCTTACTTTGTGTTGAGGATTTCTCTCTGCTATTTCCATACTAAATTTTGACTCCTTGTGTCTAGAAAAGTTACAGCTGATTTTTTTATTCAAATTTGGTATCCACCTCAGATGTTTGATTTGCATTCGGTGTATAATGGGGAATTTAGTTTTTGAGTTTTGCTACCAATACACAAAATGTCAGCTCAATATGTAGGTGCAATTCTAGAATCTGACCTTTAGGGGAGCTTATTCCCCAGTGCTGACAATGGCTCCTAGCTTGAACAACGCGGTGGCTTTTAACATCAGAAGCATTTTTAACATGGGAGGGAGGTGTCTGGGGGGTCCTCCTCCAGAAAATTTTGAATAAAGTATAGGTCATTTCCTGCATTCTGGTGTATTTTAACAGGTTATTAAACATCTAGTTTTACCTACATAAATAAACACTTGATTCAATAATTATTTTACAGAGCAACAAGAAGTAACCTGACCAACAGCTCTTCTTGTGTGAATAGAGCATGCTCCGTTTCTCTCACACATCCTAACAACCCCCCTCCACTGCCAGTCGACAACTGCCAACAACTGTATTGCAGCGCACAATACAGATGCTAGCTAAGATGCTACAGATGTAGCTCTCCGCCTCTCTCATGAATGCACTACCCACCCCCCACCCAGCTCCTACAGGTAAAAGCTGTTTCACTTGGGGACAAATTAAGGTCACCAATTGGTTAGTTGCTGACAAGTCAACTGGATTGATTGACAGGTGGCATAGAGGAACCGACTCGTGCAAAACACATAGATCTTACTGGCCCATTTAAGAGTGTCATCATTAATTCCATATCCATCCATTATCTTTTACCCGCTCCTTCCATTTTGGGTCACGGGGTCGCCGGTGCCCATGTCCAGCAATCACTGTGCGAGGGGTGGAGTACACCCTGGACAGGTCGCAAGTCCATCACAGGGACACATAGAGACAAACGAGACAAACAATTATTCACTCTCTCACTCACACCTAGGGACAATTTAGAGTTACCAATCAAACAAGCATGTTTTTGGTCTGTGGGAGGAAACCGGAGTACCCTAAGAAAACCCACACATGCACGGAGAGAACATGCAAACTCCACCCAGAAAGGCCCCCGGACCGAGATTTGAACCAGAGACCTGCTCGCTGAGAGGCAGCAGCTCTACCAGTTGTGCCACTGTGCTGCTATTTATTCCATCCATCCATCCATCCATCCATTTTCTTTACCCGTTTATTCCATTTTGGGTCACGGGGGTCGCTGGTGCCCATGTCCAGCAATCACTGTGCGAGGGGCGGGGTACACCCTGGACGGGTCGCAAGTCCATCACAGGGACACGTGGAGACAAACGAGACAAACAACCATTCACTCTCTCACTCACACCTAGGGACAATTTAGAGTTACCAATCAGCCTAACATGCATGTTTTTGGTCTGTGGGAGGAAACTGGAGTACCCGGAGAAAACCCACGCATGCACGGAGAGAACATGCAAACTCCACCCAGAAAGGCCCCTGGACCGGGGTTTGAACCAGGGACCTGCTTGCTGAGAGGCAGCAGCTCTACCAGTTGCGCCACTGTGCTGCTATTTATTCCATATCCATTCCAAATTGATTCAATATTTTGGTGATTTTAAGGTTTAATAACTGAGTTTCCTGACAAATTCCTAATGATGGTTTCTTCATTTTTCAGGAATGTTGCGTTAAAATTTAGGTTTGCTTGAGCAACCCTCAAAAAGAGGCTAAAATCACCACTGTCGATATATCTGAAAAAGGCTGAGTTATAGCTATTTTTCTTATTAGCTGTGGCAGCCATTTTTAGTTTTGATTTCCATTGTTTTCTGCCTTCTTCTAACTTAAAAAGAAGGTATTCTACCCATATACAGTAGAAACAGTCATACCAATCAGAAAGTCAGACTTTCTTGTTGTTAGGGGGCAGAGAGGGGTGAAATAAGACCACAGCTTTATGTCATAATAGGAGAGAAATGTACAGAAATGTACAGTTCAAACAAAGAGTCACTGTAAAAAAAAAGATATTAGGTCAAATGAAACATTTCTTGGAACATGACTGAAAGAAGATATTTGTTCTCACTCGTAACTTTTCACATTTCTACAGTGCTATATGTCAGAAATATGATGTGTTTAAAAGACTCCTCACCCAAAATCAGAAGCACAGTCAAACTGAAATAATATGAAAAGAATAGAAGAGACGTGGATGCACTCTGAGGCTCCGGAGAAAATCTCAAGTCATAAAGGAAAAGCAAAAATACTGGTTGAAGAAAAAAAAAAAGATACATTTTCAAACACCACAAAGTTAACACCAAACATCACTAAAGATAACACAAACGTAATAAAAAGTAACACCAAACATCATTAAAGGTAAAGCCAAACAATACGAAGGTAACACAAAACATGACCAAGGTAACACAAAACATGACTAAAGGTAACACCAAACAAAACCAAGGTAACACCAAACATCACTAAAGGTAATGCCAAACATCAC